ATCGCCACTTGTACGATCGTAGAGCTCTTATCGGTGAATCAGCTGTGTATGAGGGCGTAGTGTGGGAGATGGAGTTCATTGGGCACGTACAAACTGGGATCGAAATGGGTTCTATCTAGGGCAGTTGGCATGTTTTTGTGCTTTTTCCCCCTAATCCACCATCTGAGATCAGGGACGCCATCGTTGTGATCATCACAACAGGGGGTCGTATTTGACCTCGAGGGGGGGGGTCGTAAGCGCGGGGACCTTTCTGAAGTGAGGGTGCAGCGATACCCAGATGTCGTTCAGCTTCAATGATGAAAGACTTATCCATGTGAAGAACCCCTGAAGAGACCCACACAAGACAGAAGCAACCTGCCAGCGCAGAAGTGGGGAACGGGCGATGACAGGAAATACGATGGCCCCACAACGACGTCATGAATTAATAAACAGATGAAAATACACTTCCGGACCTTTCTGATCGCAGAAGCACATCTACTTGCACGGAGGAAGCCCTTTCTAGAAGTTGCACCTTCCCAATACCTCTGCGTGAAAGCGCTATGCATGGCGCATTGCAGAGGTGATGCCAATCCCAATGAACTATTTCCTGATATCCTTGGCGAAAACATGCGTTTTAGAAGCATACCAAAATCTTTAGGCCGACTGGAGGTTTTATGGCGTCGGAGGGGTTGATTTTTATGTCGTGGGCAGTGAGTTTCGAATAGCAGGCCTAGGGAAAAAATGAAAGTTCTGCTGGAAAGTAGAAAGCTTCATGCTTCCGGCACAGTTTTTCTTTTTACGAATGGCTCTGTATGAAGCTTGTTATGGCTGTTCAAAGCCATAGGACTTGTGGATGACCCCCTAGGATCACGGGAGGATCACAACGGAGAAAATTTCTAGAAAAGGAATGTTTCTGAAACCGCTCAAATTAACAAGAGCCATCCTAGTGCTCTACATTACTGCTTTCACCTCTCCAAAAGCTCTACTCTCAAATAAGTTGTGGGTGTTTAAGTGAGGGGTGTCGAAGTTCTACCAGCATATATTCCCTCCATGGGCTTTCTCAAAAGACTCCATATGGAATAGAAAGGCGGTAAAACTGTTAGATAGATCTCAAGCGTGACATTATGTATGACCACGCATATTTGGTAACCTGATAAGACAACTCCTTATAGGAAATATCACCCATATATAATTCCTCATCTGTTCTGTTTTGATTGGGGTGGTTGTTTGTACCAAAAATTCAGGATTTAACGAGCCTGAAAAAACAACTTAGAGAGTAGAGTCGAGGAGGGATATGTAGGGCATGACAAGATTTTAATAGAGCGCACCATCGACCTTGCGAAGCCCGCCCACAGTGATCGGCGTGCGCGGAAAGTTGGTGGTAGCGGAGATAAAGATTCATAATTCGCTTCCAGAGCAGCAGAGATGGAGAAAAAGTAGAATAAAGTTGGCAAATGGTTGCCAGACTAACTAGGGAGACACACCCGGAACGGACAGGGCGTTCTCCAGACGGGCGGTGTCCCCACAAAATTCAGTAACAAGGTTCCCGAGACAGTTTAGATCATAGCCAAAATATGATCGTTAGTGAGTGCAATATCGCGGAGAGTTTTGCATTCCTGAGGTATGTTGAGGCCGCCCACTATGGGCGGAGCGAACATAATGTGCTCATCAAAAATTTGTTGCTCTGTCCCAGAGCACTAAAGAGACCGGAAAAAGCAGATAGGGTCCAGTGAAGAGTCGCGTTGAAGAAACGTGGGCGTATGTTCTGACTGTAGTCGCCGCGCCGATCTTTATTTGTTTGTTCAGAGACGTGATTAATCCTACTTCTTTCATGTGTGCACCTGCTCGACGCTCTTACTAACCTTCTACATAAATTTACTTAGACCACAGCTGAGAGAGAACTAAAAATTGAAGCCGAGCATTTGCAGTCTCAACACAAAAAGGTACGCGCAGCAAAGCCGCGCCCGCCCGTCGAAGCCGGGCCATATCACAGAAGGAAGCGCGCCGGCGAGCCGACTGGTATTCTGAAACTGCGGAATACGAGACGAACAGACTTGGCCATGACCTTCTGAAGCGTAATGAACCCTGAGAAACAAGTGGCATTTGTTGGATAGACCTAGTGATGCATTTTTCTTATGAGCAATGCAACTACTCATCCGCCGATGAGAGCTTAATAGAGCTGGAGTAATTTAATAAGAATGTTGCAATTTGGAAATAGCAGTTGCTGGAGTGTACAGATGGGATATTCTGAAAGTGGTACATATCGTAAACTTCTCAGTTCAGGTCGAAGGCGCTTTATCTCTCCGCACACATCCCCCAAGCAGTTCATGCGTCACCGAGCACGGCCATGTATCCATCGCAGTACGAGCGATTTGCCCTCTATCCACCGGAAATTTTTGAGAAGTTTATGCAGGCGAGTTTTGATGTGACCAGCAATCAATATCTTGATTTCGCACCTCTTCGAGAAACTTCGAGTTCCAATCTTTTTCTTCCTTCAGATGATTGGCGTGAATGATGGAGAGCATATAATCCTATACTCTCGAGACGATCGAGGAGGAATGGAGTACAGTACAAAGTTTGCTTGGTTGTTAAAGGCAAGCACTTCTAGTGGTGTCCAACTTCTCTCTTCGTAAAACCTCGGCATTGTTGTTACGTTTGATAAGTTCTTCTGTGCACACGAGGTTGGTAGGTGGGAACTTTATTATGGCCTGACGTTTCGACTAGATCGCCTTCATCAGAGGCCCAGTCTCTGATGAAGACGATCTAGTCGGAACGTCTAGCCATACTAAACTTTCCACCTACCAACTCAAACGCAAGCACTTCTTTTTCCCGTGTTTCCGACCATAACACAAGATAACTGGTTTCAGTCTTATGGTCACGAGAAATCATCAGTCCTTGACGGTGGCTTGCATCAGTGGGTGAAGAAAGGACTTGAAATCAGTACCGAAGACGTGCAACTTCCAGTAACTCTTAAACAGTCGTTATATGGTTGGCTGTTGGGTAGTTTCGATTTAATGATACTTTTTAGACAGGAAATTGGAAGGCGAAGGATCATGTTGCCGCAAACAATATTACCTGTTTGGAGAATTGCAGAAAAAGAGCTGGAAAAGAATATTGGATACGGCAGACGAAGTAAGATAATGCTGTTATCCGATCCCAGCGGACCTTGACGTTGTGATCTTAGGTGCGTAGACGAGTAACCGTTTGCTGTGATTAGCGTGCTATCAGTGCGGAGCGACGGGGAGGAGACTGCAAATCCGTATCTCCCTGCCCATCCCTCTTTTCTCCCCGTGCATTTTTTCCCAAGCTGAGAAATTGGCACGCTACTGCATGCGGACCCCTTCATCTTACATATGGCAAGGACCAGGATTCAAGAAGTGAGCGTGGAGTTTGTCTTAAACTGACTGTGGGAGAGCCCCTGTAGTCTAGCGGTTAGCACCTAGCCCGATAAGCGTGACGTCCGAGGTTCGAGTCTTATACCTGGCACCCGTGCACCGTTCTCGCCTGTTGCTGAGTAATCTTTTCATAAATGTGCAGATGTCTTTGATGAAGGCAGTTTTTTTTAGAAATGCTTTCAAAGCATGAGGCAAAAAAGATTAAAAAGTGAGATTAGATCGCAAGAGAGCCTGACCTTTTCTTATATGACTCCACAGGAGACAGTGCGAACTACTCGTTCGCTAGTACGAGCAAGAGGAGAAAAAGAAAGCAGTGGCCGATCTGTAGTATGTATTCTCACGACACCACACGACACGTGCTTATGAACATCAGGAACAGTACAGTCCATATCTGGAGCCAGGGGACTCCCGGTTAGTTCGTCACGTCGGAAGCTTGACAGCAGTTCTCCCACGGTGATGAATTGGGCCGTGCCACAGTTGTGGAGAAATGAGTTGCGATGCGCTAAAGCCTTCTGGACGCTCCCGCAGTCCATCAGTGTGGAACAAGGCCTGTAAATCATTTTCAAGATGTGAACCTAACGTCAATTCTGTCTAAATGATGTGCTTTCTATCCTACGATTAGTAGCGTAACTTTCTGGATGCTCGCATACGTGGTCAGTTCAATGGCACTGAGGAAACAGGGCTGGATCTTTATCGTTTGGTTTTTTATTACTTCTCGAAGATTTACAGTTGAATTTTGCGTTAATCAGCAGCAAGGAGTTCTTAAGAAACACTTAATCGTTGCTGTTGGTTGGAGCTCTTGATTGTTTTCTTTCCGTTCTTTAGCCACTGAAGGCTTGGAATGCGGAGCAAGGCTTTGGTAGTGATGAGATGTCATGTTGGTCGTACAATCCTGATAGAGTATATGCCCGGAATGGAGCTATCCGCTATACCTCCATTTTTGCATCTTAGACATAACTCTGGTTCGCTGCGGATGAAGGGGCGTGTCAGGGAGTATGTGTGCCACGAGCCAAACCCGTTCTCTGCCAGTTGTTGAAGCGAGTATGCGACAGCAATTGGTAGAAAATGGGTGATATGTACGACATGATACAGTCTTGTCACTTGCTCGCTTCACAACTGGTGGAGAACGGGTTTGGCACCGCGCCAAACTCATTCCGCCTGACACGCCCCTTCGTCCGCAGCGAACCAGACTATTATTTCATTTTGCATTTCATTTGAGAGCACATTCGAATGTGTCTTTTCGTCGGCAATGCAATCTGTGAGTAACGCGTGGTTTTTGATTAACATTTTTACCCTTCCAGACATGACCTGGGACAATTTCGGGTAAGTTTCGATCCATGTACCCCTTGTGTCATGATGACACCCCTTGTTGCTTATCAGGCTTCACTTCGAAGTCATCCTAATTGGCTAGTCCATGCAAAAGTTGAAATCTTCCGCTGTCGGTAGTATGCTACAGTCCTCACTGTTCCATGCAGTCTGGTCTCGTTCTCACGTCTGGGTTTCGTAATGATTTGGATGGTGCTCAATATGTTCGTTGTTATAATCACAACATTTTTCATTTTTTTTGTGAAAGTCACTGTTTTTTTTTCGTAAGAATTTTTCTTCTTGCACCCTTCCTCCTTTGCTTGGTAACTTTCCGCTTACAATTAGTTTTTTATACATTTCTTGTTCCCTGCTTTTACCATTTCAGTCTACTCAACTGTCTCTTTTATTTGTTAAGTCCGACAATAGGTATTGCCTACAAAACCTTCTGCTGCTGTCCTTTAGATGAGGTAGTCTGTAGGTCCTCGTAGCCGAGGGAATCATACTTTGCACATACACTCCTCATCATTACGGACTGTCGGGGCGGCACAGCCGCGCTGCAATGTGACGCGACAGCGGGTGACGGCGAATCAGCTGATTTCCATGGAATTCGGCTGCGAATTCCCACTTTTTCAGCTCTTCAAGCTTCGAAAGTGGAAGGTGAGTTATTTTGAACAATTTTAAATTGTACTGACTCTGAATGAATCTGAAAGAATGTAAGCCATTTGAATAAATGCCTGAAATAAGGCAAAATACAAGGAAAAGAGCATAATAATCGACATAAAAATAAAGGAAATCAGAGCCAGTACAATTCAAAATTGTTCAGAATAACTCACCTTCCACTTTAGAAGCTTGAAGAGCT